GGGGGGGGGGGGGGGGGGCGTCAAGAACGCCCCAGACCGGACTGTCGAGGTCTGAGGAGAGCCGAGGTCTCCCACGCGTGCTGGCACAGTCTTGACGAAGTGTCGCTCCCGGATTCACACCCGGCCGCCTACCGCAGCCAGAGGCGCAGCAATGCCCTGGGAGCGGTCTTGCGCGCCGCACGGTCTCGCTCTCTCCGTTTGCTCTCTCACCGCCGCCCCCTTTGCTTTTTATAGCTTCCCACAGTGGGGTTTTTTTTTTTTTTTTTCTCCGCCCCCAATTCAAGAGTGACAAAGAGTGAAAACGTTTCTCTCACCCCCCACGTTCCCGCCCCACTCCTCTGCTTCCCCCTGCGGCTCCCCCTCCTGCCTCTCCTTTTTGTCCCCCTCCCACACCCCTTTGCTCTCCACAACAACTGAGAAAATGGGATTCATTCCCAGGGGAACGTGAGGCTTCCTAATTCCTGACAACAGCTCTGGCGGGTGGAAAGACCTTTGGAAACAGACGGAGGGCAAAAGTGGAAGTGGAGAGGGGCAGGTTGCCACCGCCCTTGGGGACCGCCAGCGCCCTTCTTTAGGTTTCCCAACCCATCTCCGGTACTTGACTCCTAGAGGAGCACTAGAAAAGCCCCATGGAAGGTTTGGAGAAGTGAGCATCTGGGCGTACAGAGCATGCCGTCTGTACGGGCAAGGGCCCAAGCTGGGTTTTAGTCTGTGCCTCCCAGTGTGTATGTGAGGCTGCGCTATGTTGTGCCAGGGGGTGCCCAACTGACGTGGACGGGGACTTTGGAACTGGGGAGAAGAGGACCAGAAAAAAAGGGAACGATGTTCCTACGCTCACCCGGGAGACGTTTGGAATTTTCTAGTCTCCACCTTTTGTACCCCCCAACTTCACGACCCCACCACACACGCAGCGTACGTTTACGTCTCCGCGGGGTTGGGAGAAATGGGGTGCCTTCAGTAGTATCGGAGGGTTTCAGTCTCACTGCTTTACGGGGCATCTCTACTGCGCTAGAGGAAATCCCAAACGGGAATGATGGGAGGCAAGGAAGCCTTGGAGGTCCTGCCTTCCTCAGCTCCCTGCCTCTTAGCCTCTGGGAATTCCCCGGGAAACCTTCCCTGCCAGCCCCAGGCTCCTCGGGTCGGGTTTGCCTCTGAGAAGGTGGAAGGAGGTGCAGAGAGGGGCTGGGACGCGCTGGCGCGCAGCGCTTGGGGGCGCCAGTGGCAGCGGCCCGCCGGGGTGCGGAAGCACTGTCAGGAGACAAGCTGTCCCAGGCAAGCACAGGGCTCGGGTTTGGAGCGGTTTGGTGGTTAAGCGCCAATGTTTCTAATGCAACGGGAAGGGTTGTTTGGGAATTGTTGCATTTATCCTTTTCATGGTCTAACGCCTGTGCTCAGAGAAATTGAGACAGTGCCACAAGTTGGCAGCTCACAACTAGAGAACGAAGCTGATCTCCTAAACCGCTTTATAGATAGACCTGATCTTCAGACCAGGTTCCTCAGTTTTCATACCTGATGCAGTTGCACACGAGCGTGTACAGGAGTATACATTGAACATATTGTCTCTAAGTGAGAACGATAGTGACTCTTTTCCCCAAAAAAGGGCTGAGTTGTAAAGTGTGAATTTATGGCTGGGTTCTCCCAGACAGCACCCGCTTTGCATATTTCCTGCTCTGATCTGTGAGTCTGTCTGGTCTGGAATGCTTCAGTTTCAGATTTTTTTTTTTTTTTAAACACCACAAGCAAAAGGGCATTAAAATTTAAGGAACCTTCTGGAATCTCTTCTTATCTTTGACTTGCTTTTGTGCTTTCTTAGGTTAGAGATTTTCACATTGAATTTTTCCCCCACTTTTTAAAAATATCCCTAGGAATGATTTGTAAGGACAAAGGAACCATTCCAGGCACTAGTGGAAGGGAAGGAAACTCTATTAATAAGTACTCGTGATTCACTGTTTACACCTTAAAGAGGGTATTATCTTTTCCTGGGATATTCCAGTTGGAAAACATTTGAGTAAAGGAGAAAATTAAGTTAGAAGACTATTGGTTAGGAATTTTTCAAGAGTATTTTAGAGCAAAAGGAAAATTCAAAAGACAACTAAATATGTAGGCAAGAAGTCACTCTACATCCATTTGGAGGTTGTAAATATCCACCATCAGCTAAAGAAGGAACAAATGAACCAAGAGAAAATCTGAAGATACTTTGCTATTTCCATCAGTTCCCTCTTTCCTTACTTCCAATCAAAGCAAGATCCCATAGAGTCATACCTAACTCTTGTCAATGCCCTGCTGAAAAGAAAAATGATATCAAGCTCAGCTTCTTTACTCTCACAAAAGCCTTCAGCTCTGAGTATCATGATAGAGATTATCTCAGAGGCTTACCCAACATCTTACAAGCTCCAAAAGCAAATTTTTGCAAACCAGAGTTGAAAATCAAAGTTCACTTTTATGTGCACAAATATTTCCCCCCATATGTAAAACTAAATCACACTATGGAATCATATGCTACCACATACACGATTATACCAGAAAAAGAGGTAAAAACTAATTGCAGTCATGATCCAAATGTTCTCTGTAAAACTGTATAACAGAAACAGACACACATAACCCACATGTGGATAAATAGATATGCATACACAAAATCAACTAACTGTAAATAAACATAATACTTTGGATTACTGTCATAACCACACATGTGTTTTCTCATGTATGTTTTTGTAAGTACGAAGATACAAACTTCATATTGTACTTGGAAAAACATACTTTTATGCATTTTGCAATAACATCATTAGGGAGTAAACATATAAAAGCAACACTGTACAGAAGTAAGGATAGGGTTTTCTTATTCAGAAGAAAGTATCTGTATGAACACTTTTTCCTTTGGCCATATTTTCCTTCTTTGCTCCTCCAGTCAGCTTGGTTCCATCAAAAAACCCACAAGTGTCTTAGTAGTTGTTTCTGGGTCCTGGTTCCCTTCTGACTACTTGGCCTCAAGGTGAGCTAAGGGCATACACATCATTCCTTTATTCTTGTTTTCTACCCCATTCTCTCTCTCCCTTCATTGGTAACCACATCCTACATAAGTCTGTTTAGCAGTTGTTCATCTGTTCACTTCATATGTATTAAGTTTATGGTCCTGAAGATCCAAAGGTGCCTAAGTCAGGGCCTTGGCTATGGAGAGGCTTGTGGTCCACTGTCAAGGCCTGGCCTCACTGAAATCTGCCTCTTGCCCTTCTCAGGAGCCTTCCTCTGCTCTCATCTGCTACTGAATTCTGCCAACCTCGGTCTCTCACAGGGTATCAGGAACTTCTGCATTAGATTGAATTCATGTGACGGTGGAAATAAAAGAAATTAGAGATGTCCCCCAGAGTTTTTCCTTTTCTTATAAGTTGCATGTACACTTTTAGAGTGTACAAAGAGACAATATTCTTATATTTGTGTTTGAACCCAAAGAAATGGCACTAGTGTGGTCATTGTAGGTTGGTAAGAACAGAAATATGGTATTATGGCAAATTTGGGAAGGGAGAGTATATTTTAGTAGCCCCTTTAGAACACCAAATCATCTTGTCCACACAGGATAGACATGACAGACCTCCTTCTTGTTGGATGTTAAAAGATTTGAAAAATATGGTTATGTGGGTTTCCTCTCTCCATAGTAAACAAGGCCACCTGGTTCTCTATCCTAGTAATACTCAACTCTTCAGATCTTATCACATGAGAATTTCATATTTCTCACTCTGCCTATAAAATAATAGTGCCATGTGTTGCTGTCAATTACAGTTTAATTAACCTTCAGTAAATGTAAGTTAGCACTGGTATTGTGAACATTTTTTGTGTTTCTTGATAGGACTAATTTCCATACCAGATAGAAAATTTGCATTTCCTATTTGATCCCTGCCATATTTTCAGCTACTAACTCTTTTCTTCCTTGATTTCATGGACAAGACCAGCTAATGAGAAAAAAACCCATCACTCACAGTTTAGGTGCTAGCTATACTTGACACAAACACATACAAGTGAGATGGTTTAAGGGATTTCACAGTGAACCAGAAACATAATTCCTTAGTTAATGGCTTGGGTTTTGATCCTTGACACATTAATCATCTTCTCAGTATGTTATCTGCCACTCAAATGAGAATTATTGAACAGATTCCCCCTAGCACCCTAGCCCAGCTCATAAAAAGTGAGCAAATACTATAGTCAAGAACTCAAGTGGATAAAACTCTACTGATTCTTGTGCATGTGAGAGACCTTTGGTGAAATGGAAATTAGAAACATTCTCCAAATGTTGAAAACCAAGCCTTTCCTTTTGCAATGTGAAATTTCTGCTTGTTCTATATACTGCGAATCCTTCCTGGTGGTCCACTTACTCCCACT